GGCCTTGTGTCTGGCCATAGTGTTGGTGAAATGTATGTTTTAAATAAAATTTTGAAATTATTAATCGATCATAAATATTTCGAGACGATTTAATATGAATATTGAACTGAACTGAATTGGGACAATTTCTGTGTTGTGCGGAAATATTATGGCAAATATGAGATTATTATTTTGAAATAAAGAGCTATGCTGTGGAATCTAATTGTGCATACGATGAAAAATATCAAATCATTGACAAAGATTAGTACTCAACAGAAAATGAAAATGTTGCAAAATTTTCAAAATAATTCTGGCTACAATTTTTCCTCCAACCACGCCAACATGAATATTTTTGCTGTCATTGATAGTGCTTCATAACCCATATTCGTTTTTACTAAAATCCTTAGGAAAATGCGGTCAAAGTGTCTAGAAGTGCGGAATGTATATTTGACAGATATGTGCAGCAATTCTCAAAATATCGAAAATGTATTTTTTCAATTGAATTTTATTTTTCCAAAATAAAAAAAAATAACTTTCGTCGATAATCGAAGATTTCTAAAAATATCAATCTCATAAAAGAGAAAAATACAAAAACATCTAAATATAAGTTTAATATCCTACACTACAAAACGGAGAACATTTTGTTCTGATACTTTTTTGGTAGAGCCTCCGAATGGTTTTCGGAGAGCCCGTGAAGCTTATTTATGAATTGCCAGTCAAGCAATTTCCTTCAATAAAAACAACCACAGAATACAACTAATTCAAGATATAGCTTCGAAACGAATTTATCTATATTGCTTACAAAAAACGGAACACGTTTTGGAATAGCCCTTATATTACGCTGCAGGCCAAGTAAACTATTGGAAACGACATTTTTCTGTAGTAAAGCTGAACTCATTAAGATAATACAAAGACATGTCCTGTAAAAATGATTATCCTTTATATACCCTTTACATAGTAGGTAGCGTTTAAGAAAAGGAGAACAAAACAAGAGAAGACATTGTTTTGTCTCTCATATGGTAGTAATTGGGATCTCTTTTGCTTCTGTTTCAATTTTGTCTATCATTTTAGATGAGGGTAAAAATATAAAAGAAACAAGTAAGCAAAGGCTATAGTCGTACGGGGCTGACCATGTGATACCCTACAACACTACAATATGTTAGAAGCCCCCTCATGTCAAAATTTTGGAAGATTTCGAAATTATGTCACGGAGCACTACCCAGATATTACCCTTAGCATTTTGACCAGTGACATTTGCCCAATATTTACGCACTCCGTCGTGCTGTTAGTTGTTGTGGTCAATTTTACGTCTTATTATAATCCAATGGTCATCCAAAATGCCAGTACTCTTTCTGTTTTGGTTCATTGCGATCATCTCCAAAAGCAAGACGCCCCTCTGTATCTCCAAATTCAGACTCATCTATATGGTTTGCTTATCTACGATAATTGGCAATATTCGTCAACGAAATCAGCATAAAAAAGCGAGAAGTTCGCCTTTTTGTGTATTATGGATATCGCCTGTAAGTTATTTTCAGTGTTTCGGTAGAATTTAAATTTTTGTTTTTTTTTTTCACACAAAAGTAGTGGTCCATTCTACCCGCTGTCCTAAACTCTAACTTCATGTGAAATTTCGTGACCTTAGGTTTCTATTTATACTTTTATGCCAAGAGGGCACTCTGAATTGACAAAATCGGTCCAGCCATTCTAGCTAACATACTATTCCTTTGAATATATACATTGCATATATTTCGCTATATATATATATCAGATATATATTTACTATTGGTATCTACGTAACGGTCAGAATTGACCTATTCGTCTATTTGTGATTTCGCCGGGTTTATAAAATATTCGCGGTTTAATAGGAAATTTGACTTTATTTAACACAAATGTTATGGTCTTTTTCACCCACTAAATATTATCCGACAACCAATTGGAAAATTGGAAGGCTTCTGCCCAGCCCTAAGCTCTAGCCCCATGCTAACTTCCACGTCGATTGGTTTATAATTGCGACCTGTAGAGCAACTGCAAAATCAGGAAATTTTGCCGTTTTTTGGTCCATTTCAACCCCTAAATATTATGCGATCATCTCCAAAAACAATAGGGTTCTATTCTGACCATATCCCCACCTTCATTTTAAATTTCATGAAGATCGGGCCATAATTACGACCTGTAGAGTGATTACAAATTAACATGGACAGACGGACGGACATATATAGCTAGATCGACTCAGCTCGGCGAAATAGAAAGATCCATATATACTTTCCTATGTGGGAAACCATTATTTCGAGGTGTTACAAAATTTTTGGCCCAATCAAACTTATAATACCCCCAACATATAGTGTTGTAGGGTATAAAAAGGTGTTAAAGTTTGAAGAAAAAAATATTTTTCAACAACTATCTGCTTTTAACTTTCACAAAAAATTAAAATAAAACAAGTAAAAAAAGTATTGGACGGTTATTCCGACAGATGTATACTCTCAGCTAATGTTCGATTATTTCAAAATATTTGTACTTTTGTTATGATTATTCAAGCTCTTGACCCTCTATTGGCCAGGTTTTGTAAGAATGGGCCAATATTGTCTATTTTGTATCGGCCCTAAATAAATATAATATAAATATTGCGTCAATTTATGACAGATAAAAGTATTGAAAATTGTCATCCTTTGTGAGCGAGGTACCAGAGGGCGTTCCCAATTATATAGCATTTTCACAACAGATCTTGTGTTAGCATAAATGTTTGTATGTGTGAAATTTGAAGAGAGTTGGATGCTTATTTCGCTTTCTTTGAGCGTTCCGTTTTTGCAAAATCTTGAACCCTATGTGGGGCAAGTAGCAAAAGAAATGGTCCTATATCTACCATCTTTATAACAGATCTTGTTTTGGTGGAAATATTGAGATATACCAAGTCTGGAATGGAATAGGATGTTGATTTCGCTTTTTCTGAGCTTCATGGATATTCACAATTTTGACCCTTTGTGGGGGAGGTATCAAAAGCAGTGGACCAATATATCCCATCTTCTCAGAAGATCTTGTGTTAGTAGAAATAATGGAATGTATGAGATATAAAGAGAACATGATGCTTTTTTCGGATTTTAGAAACGTTTTGGTTATTCAAAACTTTGACCCTTTGTGGGGGAGGTAACAGGAGGAATGGTCCGATCTCTACCATCTTTTTAACAGATCCTGTGTTGATAGAAATATTTAGATGAGTCAAGTCTAAGTGGAATCGTATGTTAATATCGCGTTTTATGAACTTAATGGATATTCAAAATTTCGACCTTTTGTGGGGAGGTATCAGAAGGAGTGGGCCGATATATTCCGTCTTAATACCAGATCTTGAGTTTATAAAATTGTTGGGATGTGTGAACTTTTAAGACAATCAGATTCTTACCTAAAATTTTATGTGAGTTATAATTAATCAAAATTTTTACCCTTTGTGAGGGAGGTACTTGATGGAGTGGACCGATATTTTCCATTTTCGCACCTGACCTAGCACTGACGCAAATATTTGCAAAGTTAGAGCAAAATCGGATTATCGTTTCTCTTTCTGTGTAAACAAATATTTTTTTTTGAAAATTTCGACCAGAAAGAAAGATATATTCCATCTTAATACCAGATCTTGGGTTAATATATATATTGGGATGTGTATATATTGGGATTAACATTTTATGAGAGATGTAATTTTTCAAAATTTTGACCATTTGTGGGGGAGGTACTTGATGGAGTGCACCGATATTGTCCATTTTCACACCTGACTTAGCACTGACGCCAATATTACGATTTGCAAATTTGGAGCAAAATCGGATTATCCTTTCTCTTTATGTGCAAAAAATATATTTTTTAAAATTTCGACCTTTTGTGGGGGAGGTAACAGAAGGAGTGGACCGATATTGTAAATCTCCGAACTCGATCTAAGTTTGACAATAATATTACGATGTACCAAGTTTGCATCAAATCGAATACTTCCATCGAGAGTTATCGTGCGCATCAGCCAGACAGAAGGACGGACAGATACCCCTAGATTGACCCAAAATGTCCTGAAACGGATTTGGTCCAAAGAGACCTAGGGTTTTAAACTATTATTTCGATGAGGCACGTTTTGGCCTTATCGAATGATATATACCCTCTCAGCCATATGGCTGAGGGATATGAATAGAATCCCTTAAAAATTCTGTTAAAATTATTTAAATGCCGAAAAAATGGGGGGGGGGGGGGTGCATATTTAGGGGCCATACGAAGACCTGTACCTGCATTGACAATTTTCTGTCATATGCCGTTGTACACATTAGAAACTTGAAATACAAAATTTCAAACATTTCCGGTGAATAGTGCATTTGAAATCAACAAAATACGGAATATAGGGAGGTACCGATATATGGGGGCTATAATAAAAAATGGATCTGCATAGACAATTTTCTTTCAGAGACTGAAGTACCTATTAAGAACTTCAAATACGAAATATGAAACAATTCCGATGTCGGCAAAATCGTCAAAATTCCGGATATGGGAAGATATCTTTATATGGAGGCATTACAAAAACGTGAAATTGCAAATTATTTCCCGTTAAAGGTGTGCCACAAATTCCCAAAATAACGAATATTTGGAGGTACAGTTATATGGGTACTATTTCAAAACTTAAACCTATGTTGAGAGTTTTATGCAAGGATGTTTTTTTACATAATGGAAACATATTGTTTCGAAAGCTGCCAAAATAACTTAAATCTGTCGGTACAGTTATAGGGGGTCATACCAAAACGTGGACCTATATAGCCCATTTTCAATACCAAAAGTCCTGCAGAAAAAACACATATCTGCATACACATTTTACTCTAATTCATTTATTTTGGAAGCTAGGGTGATTTCTGCAGACGAACAATCTGACGCCTATTGAATTGGTTCATTTTCAAATATCTACCAGATATTCCCGCTATATTTTCGGGACATGTTGACTCATCCTTTTATTTATGCTGCAGACCTCAATGTCAAATTTTATTCAGATTTTTCTAATTCGAAATATTTTTGCCCTTCCAATTTCAGCTGAATCCTGGACGGAAGTTGATGAAAATGGTGATGAATACGAATTGAAAAAATTCACCATTCAAGGACGTCAATTGAATGGTGGTCGTTCACAATGTGTTGTGACGCGTCGTAAGAGGGCAACAGTTGCCGTCATACCTGTCGAGGCTAGAGACCAAGAAGATGATGACGATGAAGAGGGAGATGATTCACAAGAAAATGTTGGCTATGCTGGTGCCTCCGGGTTGCAGCCACATGCTGTTCTCTTCTATTCACCTCCAACCGAAGATGAAGGTGATGAGGCAGAAGAGAATTCGCAAGATGATGAAGATAACGAGGAATTTGAGAATTTGGACAGTAACGGTAATGCCATGGCCCATGTTGTGGTTAAGGCTGATACTGTTATTTTGGCAACAGATGCCAATGGAGACTCGGCCTTGATAAATAATGGTAGCAACAACAATAACAGGGGTCACGATGGCGATGATGAAGATGAGGATGACACCGGTTTGGTGGAGGAGGCAGCCGATACAATTGAATTGGTCCATGTGCCACAAGTGCCAATTATTGGCCAATTGCAGAGTGAAGGCCAATCGTTAGCTGCCATTGCTGCCACCGCCCCAGCAGCCATTCTCAATGAAACCGAAACAGATAGTGCTGTCATCATTGAAGCAGCTAAGCCACCCAAAGTTAATCCCAATACCCATGCCGTTTTCGAGTTGGTTCCAGTCAAGCCCGGCAGTGATGATGATGAAGACGATGATGATGAGGATGATAACAAAGAGCTGGCTGCCGCCTCCGATTCTATACAAGTAGCTCAAATTGGCCATGTTGCCAATGGTGTCCATGTTATTAATCTGGCCGAGTTGGAGGGTGATGATGACGATGATGATGATTTCCACTACAACGAGGAGCTAAGTCCAGTGACCACCACAGCCATTTGGTCCACGGGTGCCGATGATGATATATCTCATCTTTTGCCAATCAAACGACCAAATAAAAACAACAAAAATAGACTGAAACGCCGCAAGAATCAAATTGCCAATAGGCGGCCAATTCGCCGCAACAAATACAAGAATCAAAAAAATAAACTTTCCCAAGGGAATGGCAATAAGAGAAGGCCATTGAGAAGACCAAATCGTGAGGAGCTGGAGACATCCGTTGGCAACAAGAACAAGGAGAAAGATACCAAAAAGAAAACCACGATAAACAGGACCGGAACAAAGAAACCTACCAAGTCCAAGAAAAAGAAGACCTCCATCACAAAGAAGAAGACCTCGACAAAGAAGAAAACTTCCAACAAAAAGAAGACCTCGAATAAAAAGAAGACCTCCACCAAGAAGAAGACTAGCAGCAAAAAGAAGAACAAGAAAACCAAGAGTAAAAATAAAAACAAAAAGAAGAACAAGAATAAGAATAAGAAATCCAAAAATAAGAAGACTGGCGTCAAAGGCTCCAACAAGGACAAGAAGAATAAGAAGAAGACAACGGCTGTAGTCCATTCACCCACAACAACCTCAGAATATTCACCCACATCCTACACCACACCCACCACCACCAGCGATACCACGCCCACCCGCCTCTCTGTGAAGGGTGACAAAAAGAAAACGAAAAAGAAGAACAATCGCCGCAACCGAAGAAAAACCAAACGCAACTCCCAGCGTCAATTTGCCAACGACACCATGAAGAACGGTGACAATGGCGACATCTACTCCCAAACCGTAACCGAAACTGATGATGAAGCCGAAACCGGCAACGTTAATTGCATTTACATACGCAAAGATGCACCCACAACGACGACAACACCGCGTCCCTTCTGGAATCTGTTGGGACGCAGTGCTAATGAAGGTGCACCCGTTGCATCGGGACGTTATGGCATGCGTAAGCGTGTCAACTTGCGTCCTCTAGCCTAAGATTAGTATTATTGATATGTATTAGCCAAAAAAAGACGAAGACAAATATAAAATTACAACAATTATTTATTAAATGCAATGCGTTTTTGTTGGCTCACCCCATGGCGATGTGACGTCATAGCCGAAGAAATGAAAAGTGTGAGCAAACTCTAGAAAGGATTCCATATACATATATATGGTAATTAAGTTATATTAACATTAAAAAGTTTGGTATCCAAACTTGGGATAAACATGTAAAAAAGCAATAAATTTTAAATACCCTTCACTATTTGGAACAAATTTGGAAATTTTCAACAAAAAAAAAAAAAAAAAATAATAAAATCCGTTAAAAATTCTGTCAAAATCTTAAAAATATCGCTTATAGCCGTTATATTGAGGTCTATACGAAGACGTGGACCTTCATAAGCAACTTTTGTCATAAGCCATTAGAATATTAAAATACGAAACTTGAAAAAAAATCCGCTAAATAATGTAGCTAAAATCATCAAAATACCGAATATAGGGAGGTACTGATATATGGGGCTTATACGAAAACCTGAACCTGCATAGACAATTTTCTGTAATAGACTGTAGTACCCATTACGAATTATAAATACGAAATTTTAAACAACTCCGGTAAATAATGTCCCTAAAATTTTCAAAATATCGAATATGAGGGGGTACCGTTGTATGTTAGCTATCGGATATGGTGGACCTTAATAGACATTTCCCTTGTAAAGTGCTTAGAAACAACTTCTAGTATGGATTTTTAGATAATTCCATTTAAAATGTAGCTGAAATCATCAAAATGCCGAATATCGGGAGGTACGGTTATACAGGGTGAGATGAAAAAACTGCAACCAACTTCAGACTGCTGTCATTTTCAAGCCACAGCTCATTATATTGCTTACAAGCGTACAAAAGCATTTTGGTGAGAATTGTTCAGAAAGAAGTTATGGAAAAAGTCGTGATGGAATTCAAGCGTGATAGTGTGATTTCTTTATATTTGGCTGGAAAACCACAAGTGGCTATCGTTAGAGCAATCCAGCATTTAAATTAGAATAAATCTTTTGTGTCTCGTGCCATCGCTCGTTACCGTGATGCTGGTAGCGTAGTCGGACGTCAAGGAAGTGGGCGGAAGAAAACTGCAACATCGGCAGAAATGGTTCTAAAAGTAAAGAAGCGACTTAATCGAAAACTGCGTCGCAGTGCCCTAAAAATGGCTCGTGAGCTGAATATATCTCAATATTCCATTCGGCAAATATTGAAAAATGAGCTCGGGGTAAAGCCATTGAAGATCCAAGATGTGCAAGAACATACACTGCAACAGAAAGAAAATAGACTCAACAGAGCTAAAGAGTTGCTTCGTTTGGCCGAAAGTGGTGAACTACCGAATTTCTTTTTTTCCGATGAGAAAACATTCGTTATCTAACAGTTTGTAAACAAACAAAATGATCGTGTTTAATTGCCAAAGAGGTCAGCTGAAAATGTGCACCTTTGGTTGGCCACTCAAGAACTCAAGCGCCGGCCGTGGTGATGGTGTGGGCCACCATAACAGTCGATGGTCGATCTCCGACGAATATAATAGCGAAAATATTATGGAGGGTGTATTAAAGCTTGGGCACGCAAACATTTTGGCCGCAGACCTTGGACATTCCAACAGAACTCAGCACCATCGCACTCAGCACGCGCCACCCAAAAATGGTTACAAAATGAGGTTCCTCGCTTCATTTCCAGCGCACAATGGCCACCAAAATCTCCGGATACCACTCCGTTGGACTATTGTGTCTGGAAAATTTTAAAAGGCAAGGTTGGCACTGTCGATCACCTCAAGCAAGCGCTTCGCCTGGAATGGGCCAAAATACCGCAGAGCAACATTTGGGCAGTCTGTGACGGTTTCATTAACCGTTTGAAGGCCATAATTCGTGCCAAAGGTGACCAATTCGAACAAATCTAAACTTATTCTTTAATTTGATGCTATTTCCGATATCTTTTACTTTCATTCAATAAAATTAAAAAAAAATGTAAAACTTATGGCGTTTGGCTTTGTTGCAGTTTTTTATCTCACCCTGTATAGGTCCACATATTTGTATAGCCCCATATAATTGTACCGACTGTTAGCCGGCTGATACCGGCTGTTTTAGTCACAAGATTAACCCAAATTTACTGTAAACTTGCAGCATATGTTCCCATTATGTATGTATGGAGGGTATATGAAGTTCGTCATTCCGTTTATAATTCATCGAAATAATCATTTTAGATCCAACAAAGTATATATATTCTTGATCAGCGTAAAATTCTAAGACGATTTAGCCCTGTCCGTCCGTCTGTCCGTCTGTTGTAATCCGATACAGTCAAAACGAATTAAGATAGGAAGCTAAAATTTTGCACAGATCTCTCTTTTGTCTGCAGGCAGGTCAAGTTCGAAGATGGACTATCTCGGTCCACGATATCGTATAGCCCCCATATAACGGTACCCCTCGATATTCAGTATTTTGATGATTTTAGTCACATTTTTCAACGGAATTGTCTGAAAATCCACACAAGGAGTCCCTTGTGAGTACTTTACAGCCTGAAAGAGAGTTGTCTATATAGGTCCACAATATTGTAAAGCCCCCATATAACAGTATCCCCCGATATTCGGTATTTTGACGATTTTAGCCGCATTTTTCAACGGAATTGTCTGAAATTGTGCACAAGGGGTTCTATGTGAGCACTTTGCCCCTGACGGAGAATTCTCTGTATAGGTTAAAGATATCGTATATCGCCCATATAGCGGTACCCTCCGATATTCGGTATTTTAATGTTTTTATGCACATTTTTTAATGAAAATCAACACAAAGAGTTTTTTGTTAGCACTTAACCCCCTGAAAGGGAATTGTCTATATAGGTCCACAATATCGTATATCCCCCATATAACGGCACCCCTCGATATTCGGGATTTTGATAATTTTAGCCACATTTTCAATGTAATTATCAGAAAATCCACAAAAGGAGTTCATTTCGAGTACTTTATCTGTTAAAAGACAATTATCTATATAGGTCCACGATAACGTATAGGTGGAGGACAATCAAAGTTCGGCCCGGCCGGACTTACTGATTTTTTACTTGTTTTATTTGTTATTATAATATTTGGTGCACTGTAGTTTTATTCAAATTTTTAGATCCTAACTTTTATTCATTGCTCTATTCATTTCACTATTTCAAACATTTAAAACAATAAATAATTAACAATAAGGACATGCACTTATTTTCCTGCGAATCTCCACTTTTTTGTATTTATTTTATCATCTTATTGCCAAATAAGTTTCATTGTTAGCGCTTTCATTGAAATCTTTTCAAAAGATTTTATCAACAGTGCAGGTCCGTCCACATCATTTGCAGATTTAGAATATTCATATGTATTTATTCTTTACCACACTTCGACCGGTTGTAGTCTTTGATCGTGTGAATATGACTATAGAGCCGTGTTGTTCGGGTCGTTGTTAAAATTCCAACTGGCTGTCCACACATACACTAACAACAAATTGACACCATTTTTACCCTACATATGAAATAGAAGCCCATATTTCCCACTATTAAAAAATTATAATTTAAAAGTTTTCAAATGCACCTGTGTTACAACTAAGGGAACCATTTTGAAAATACGTCAACTGAATTAGTTTAAACATATTAATTACTATTGTTATTATCATGTCCCATGTTGTAATGAAAATAACTTAGTAATTGAATCAATTCTGAATTTAGCTAATGAGTTACTGTTCGTATTTTCATGCGGAAACGTTTTCGAAATACCAAATTTTGTGTGAATTTTTTCACAATTATCTACTAAGAGAATTTGTGTGTTTTTGTAGGAATAAATAATAATAATTAACAGAATTTCTAACAAGTAAGAAAGTAGTTAAGTTCGGACGGGCCAAACTTTTTATGCCCTCCACCATTTGGAAGAAACTTGAAAAGTTTCATCAAATTTCCGTCGGAAAATATCGCTAACATGAAAACCGGTAAATGGGCTATACGAAGACGTGGTCCGATATAAGTAATTTGTGTCATAGGCTTAGTAACTGTTCCGAAATTTATATACGAAATTTGAAACAATTTCGGTGATAATATCGCAAAAATCATGAAAATACCGAATATCTGGGGGTACTGTTATATGGGCGCTATACTAAAACGTGAACCTATTTAGGGGTAAATCTAGGGGGTAAAGTACTCATAAGTATGATCGTGTTTACCTGCCAAAGAAGTCAGCTGAAAATGTGCACCTTCGGTTGGTCACCAGAAATCAAGTGGGATGGTATGGGACGCCTTTACAGGCGATGGTCGCTCTACGCTCGTATTAATCGATCGTGGCATCAGAATAGATGCCGAATATTGTCGCGAAAATATTCTGGAGGGTGTATCGAAGCCTTGGGCACGCAAACATTTTGGCCGCAGACCTTGGACATTCTAACAAGACTCAGCACCATCGCCTTACAGTTTGCATAGATTAGACTTTTGTCTGCAGGCAGGTCAAGTTCGAATATGGGCTATATCGGTCACGATATCATCTAGGCCCCATAAAACGGTATCCCCGATATTAGGTATTTTCATGATTTTATCTAAATTTTCAATGAAATTATCTGAAATTCTACACAAGGAGTTCCTTGTGAGTACAATACCACTGGAAGAGGATTGCCTATATTGGCCTACGATATCGTATAGCCTCCATACAACGATGCCTCCCGATATTTGGTATATTCATGATTGTAGCTTAAATTTTCAATGGAATTGTCTGGAAATCCAAAGAGGGAGTTCATTCATAGCACTTTACCCCTTGGAAGAGAATTATTTATATAGATCCACGTTTTGGTATAGCACCCACATAACGGTACCCCAGATATTCGGTATTTTCATGATTTTAGCATAACTGTTTAAAGGAATTGTTTCAAATTTAGTATTTGAAGTTCGGAATCGGTACTACAGCCTATGCAGGTCCACGTCTTCGTATAGCCTCCATATAACGGTTTTCATTTGTGTGGTGTTTTTCAATTGATTTTTTTTTAAGTTTCCTTCCAAATGTGGGGAGAGTATTTAAAATTCGGCCCGAACTTAG